AGAGGGGGCGGTTGGGGGGGCGACCCAAGCTAGCCCCCCTATCTCCCCACACTCCCCAGCCCCCCTGATCCCCGCCTGCTCCCCCAGCTCCCGCCCCACAGCTGCCCCCACCCCCACCCCAGCTCGCAGTCCTTTAAAAAAAAAGCCCCAGTGCTCACTGGGTGCTGCTGGGTGGGAGGGGTGATCCCCGCTGTTCCCCTCTGCCCCATGCTGCATGGGGGGCTCTGCACAAGCCCCCCAGCCCCACTCTGCTCCCCCAGCCCCACCACAGGGCTGAAAAAAAAAGAAAAAAAAATGAGAAAAGTCCCAGGACTCACTGCTCCTGCGGCAGTCTCAGGACTTTGGGAGCTTGTGCAGAGTCCCCCATGTGGTGTGGGATAGTGGGGGGCAGCGGGGATCGCCCCCTGCTGGCAGGAGCAGTGAGTCTGGGGGGGTTGTTTTGTTTTTTTCTGAAAGGGCCAGAGCTGGCCTGGTGGGGGTACCTGTGGGGGGGCTGGGTGAGCAGGAGGGGAGCCGGGGGGACTCATACAGAGACCCCCATGAAGTGTGGGACAGCGGGGGGCAGCAGGGATTGCTCCCCACCTGGCAGCACCTGGTGAGCCATAAACTATAAGTAAAGTAAAACATCCTTAGTTTGACAGGATGGAAAAAGAATTTGGGTAAGACATGACATTTTTAATAATATTACAAGCATTCCATAAAAACTGGAATATAGAACTAATATTCCAGAAGGGTGTAGCTGGAAAAAATGCTTTATACTTGCATGTAGTATCTGGCTATGTATCCATGCCCTATTAAATAGTCTTTGAATTTCATATTTATATATTTATTATAACAAAATAAGGCCAACAGAGTTATGAAAAATGCCTTAATCTAGCCTCAGCACTTATATTTGCATGTGTTTAAACATATAAATAATAGAACCTCTGCATTCAGTTTGGCTATTTAATGGTTTGCATACAATGCCTTTCTTCACATGAGTTTTGTTGTTCACAAATACAAAATTTGTCACCTAAATGTAAAAATAATTTTGAAATACTTGTCTTGGATTTTTTTTAAATTGAATGGATTGCAAAGGCAGAAGACACCATTTTGATAATCTGATCTGACCTCCTAATACGCTTTTTACTATATCACATATAAAGTTATGATCTAAGGGCAAAAATTAGTACCCTGTCTGTGAAAATGAACAAGGGCCTTAGTTAACATAGTTGGTACTTCATCTTAGGTTCAAATATATTTGTAAATCCAGTCTAATAATACCTAATATTTATTACTTGTCAGGATTTATAATGTTGTTCTAAATATGTGTTCACATACTATGGTTCATTATGTAGATAGTTCATTATTTTCGGTATTACTCTGTTATTCCTCTTTCTTCCTTACTTTGGGAAGTGGGTGGGGTGGGCAGGGTACTGAAAGAACTTTCCTTTTCAGGATTCTTTCCCCCACACCTCCCCGGCACTGTCCAGAGCTGTTTGTGGCTTTTCCTTCTCTTTCTTTGTTATCTCTACCTGCAGAAAAGTTCAATCTATATGCCCATGGGAATCTGTTGCCCTTTTTTGGCTTTAAGGGCTTTGGTTTCCTACATAAATTTTGGCAGAAAATTGTTCTATCTAAAACTGCTTTGAAATATCAATTGGATAAGGCATTTTTACCTCCTAACTCTTGAATGAGGTTCATTACAGCACATTTTACAGTAGAGTTGGCTGCATTTCAGCAGTGGATGGAATGATTCACAAATAACTATATTTTTGTTGATAGTATGGAATATGCTTTATGATTTTTTTTGGATAAAAAGTGCAAGATAAAGCTAAAACATTATTGTTATTCTGTATGTCAGTTTAATTGAATGTTGCTGCACATGCTGATTATATCCAACCAACTTATCCACAATAAATTGTTAAATGTATGTGGGGCATGTGGATGGATGGATGGATGGATGGATGGAAATTTCATTGTAAGGGATCATTTGGATGCTGCCATTTTTGTCCAGAAGTGAAGGGATTAATTGAGCAAACTATATTGTTATAATGAGTTGGCATAAACTGAAATGCTACAGGTATTTAAAAAATTGCAGTACATTAGGAAAATTGATAGTGTTTAATAACTGATAAATGTACACTTCCATCTCTGCAGTCTAGTACAGTGGGATGATGTTTGTACACTGAATTAATAAAAAGTGCAGGGATATGATTTTAAAGTCTGTTTCTTATTCTTCCTGTGATTTTTGGCAAGAATAAATATTGGCAGAAGGGTTTGAAATCCAGGTTTTCTGCCTCATGGATAAGTCAAGCTCTCTCTCTGTGGTGCAGTAAATCTTGAATTATGTGTCTGCATAGTGTCCCAGCTTCATCAGGAGGCATGGAAAGTGCCCTCCCTATCCCAGAAAATGCTGTAGTCAGATGTTCAGAAAACTCACTTAGGAGGTGAAAGATGTAAGTTTGGACAACCTCCACCTGTTCCTTTTCACACCATGTCTAACTCCAGCATCTGGGACAGAAGTTCAATAAACCAATTTAAACTAAATCATTTAAATCTGATACTATATCCATCCAGGTTGTCTTAAACTGGTTTGGGCCATTTGAAGATGGTTTATGTGCACTGAACTTCTGTTGTGTTACAAATTTGAACCGGTTTCTGATCATTTATACCAGGTTATGTGTAATGTCTGTCCCTAGTCCGGGAGATAGCTTTTAGGCTGAGAATTACAGTCTGGCATAAGCGCCTCCCTGTGACTGAGTCTATATGGCATACTATCCCTGGCAACAGTACCATCAAATACACCATACTGCTCTGGGTGAGGTGCCTCCCAGACTTCATAGCAATCTAGCTACATCCACAGAGAGGTTTGGGTGGGCTAATAATCACCACTGACTGACAGTCAGATAGGCTTCCTGGCTGTGTGTAGATGAAATGAGGGGCATGTGTGCATGACACTTTAAAGCGGGTTAAATGCTTTTGCACCGCTTTAATGGTGCTGGTGTTTGTACATGTTGGTGGCATATTGTGCAGTAATTCCAGCCGCTGTAGCAAATTCGGTGATATAATGCGCCTTAAATGACTAGGGATGCAGCAAACTAAAACTCCTCAGCTGCTCTACAGCTGTGAAGTGAAGCACCAAGCTCCGTGCAGCTCAGGGGCTCTGCAGGAAGCCTGTGCAGGCAGCCTGGCAGCAGCCGGGGAAGGCAGGCTCTGTCCAAGAAAAAAAAAGCAGAGATCTTTTTTGCTGTTGTTCCTGAAGCCTGCCTGTCTGCCTGTGCTGCACGAGGGCCTGGTGCTTCCCTCCACAGCTGTGGTGCCCCCGGGACCGCCCAAGCCAGGTGTCTGCGGGCAGGTGCTGCCTGGAAGGGGGCCATCGCTGCTGCAGAGGGAAGCACCGGCCCCCCCAGCCCAGGGACTGCCCCTCCCACTGGCAGCTCACCCTTGCCTCCCCACCACCAGAGGCGGGCAAGTGCATGGGCGTGTGCATGACACGAGGCTTTACTTGGCTAAATTGAAGCAGTGTTTTTAAAATCCCACCGCTTTCATTTACGGCCCCTGTTTCATCTACACACGCCTCCTGAAATCTAATGCAGCTCTGCTGCTTCTAGTTAAGGAGGAAACCATATGGAACAGCATTAGTTTAGCATGTAGACATGTCCTTCATCATGTGACTTAGGCATTTGACTTAGTCACCTGAGTAGTCTCTTCAGTGTTTTCTTGTCACTTGAGAGGGCTCCTCTATACTTAAATGCTGTTTTTTGTGGATCGTCTTTCCCCATGCATTAGTATTACTATTCGTAAAGCACTTTCAGATCCTATAGGAGTGCAAAGTATATAAGACATATGGTGGTATGATTGTGTACAGGATTGCTTACTCTTCTTTGATCTGTTTGTATGAGAAGAAAATGAGTTATATGACCTGATTTTAATCACATATATCACTTTTGATTTTTTTTCTACAGATTTTCCATATGACATATGATCTGGCAAGTGCTGTGGTGAGAATCTTTAACCTGATTGGAATGATGCTGCTACTATGCCACTGGGATGGTTGTCTTCAGTTCTTAGTACCTTTACTTCAGGATTTCCCACCAGATTGCTGGGTGTCCCTAAATGGTATGGTTGTAAGTATTGTTCATTTTTCATTGTGTTTCCAAATGTTCTTTTTGATTATTTGTAAACTGTTAGTTTAAAGCTTTAATGAAAGAGTAAATGCAATACACTGCATTGTGATACATTTAAATTCAAGGTTTCCTCTTTTTTTTTTTGGATGGTTGACTACTAATTTGAAGTATGTTTTATAACACTAGCTACCAATTCACAATTACAATAATTTTCCAAGTCTGAACCAATCCAGAAATATTTCAGTTTTAAGGTCGTCTTTACCTATCAATCCTCATTTTCTTAGCAAGACACCAAAAAGGAAATTCACTGAGGTTATAGGCGCTTTTATGGTTGGAGCTGTTTCAAAAAGAGAATGTTCCAAAACGCAGAAGCTGTTATGCTTATTGTTTCTTGTGGACCAGGTGGGAACTATACAAATATCACAGTCACTTCAACTTTAACTCTGCTTCATTCAGTGCTTAGCTGATGTAGTTGTGTTAAAGTTGGAGTGGTTTTGCTATGTTTGTATTGTTCCCAGCTTCCCACAAATAATAATTAAAACGTAAAAGCTACTGCCCTTCTGAAATGTTCTCCTTTTAAAATATATGCATGCCCATACTGTGAGATTTAGCAAGTATTTTCAGAGGGTTGTTGATAAGGCCTCTTACCTATATATAACCCAGTTTTGCCCTCAGTTACATAAATGAAAATCTTTTGGCATGAATTAGGAGCTTGGCTTGTTTAGTTTAGCAAAACAACGTTAGAGTGAATATGATTACTCTTTATAAGTACATTTAGGGATGAATATATAAGAGAAAGATAAAAGCTATTTAAGTTAAAGGACAATATTGGTACAAGGTCATGTTTTCTAGGCTGTTTGGAATGAATGGTTCCTGTGAATTCAGGGGACTAGACTGTATAGCCCAGGAAAGCCCTTCTAGTCCTTTACTCTTAAATCATGAAGACCTTGTCTAGTCTTTTCTGCAGATTTTACTCAAAGAATATTCCCACTGGAATTTTTCTAAGAAAACAATCAGAAAACCTAGAGGATTTACATCAGGAAACATTGTGTGTGTGTATGTGTCTGTGTGCATGTGAACTGCTACTTTAAGGATAAAATGTGGTTGTATTTGTGCTACTCCTCCAATGGAGCTGGTGTAGTTTTTGCTTGAACCAGTACCCTGGTGTTCATTCTTCTATTCTTCCAATTGATATGGAGGATTTTCTGAAAACATTGCTGAAGGTAATATCCAATTTTCACTCCCATACAACAGGGTATGGATAACAACAGCCTGTATACAAGACATTTGGTTTGGATCTTGATGTCATGCTCATCGAAGACATGATTTTGAAGATGTCCACTGGCAGATTTTATCTGGTGCTGCGTATCATCATCTATGTTTACTTTTTAAGAAAGGAGGGGGAAATTTTCAACCTTCTTCAAGGATTACCTTCTAATTGTAATAAGTGGAAGAGCAGCTCATTCATTTGGGTCAGGTTGGTAAAGTATCTGGGTTTTTGTGAAGTTGACAGTGATTCCAAGCATTTCATATGCTTCAGCAAAGCAAATAAGAGTGCCCTAGAGCTCTTCAACTGAGTGGGTACTCACAACACAGTTGTTAGTGAATTGAAGATCAGAAATGGAGGTGTTGGCTATCTTGGATTTGGAAGAAGTCATGAAGAAATATGATAATGGTAACAAATTTTGGTGGGCATCTGAATCTCATCAGGATCTTTCACAGGTCCTCTCTCTTGATTGAATCACAGGTCAGTGAAGGCCATTACATGTATTCAAGCATGGTAAGAATGCTTAAACATTTTTGACTGTATTTCACTCAACTCAGTCCCTGTGGGTTTGATATACAGGTCTTTTAAAGACGTTTTTCCTAGCTCACATTCTTATTAGAAAGAAAAGTAGATGCAGAACTAAAATGAGTCACTCACCATTTACTAAGACCATCATTCTGTGAAAAGGAAGGGAAGGCAGAATAGAAAGAGCTGGACAGATCCAAGTTAGAGAAGCAGAAGAAGAATGCCATTTCTAGAATTTGGGTTTAAAAGCCAACAAAGGAAGCTTTCCAGCAAAATAATTCAGGTTAGGTAAATCAGCATCATCCAGCAAAAACCCACTTCATTGGAAAATTCCCAGTAAGTTCTGTTCCTGAAGAAACAGAAGAATTCCTTTTCAAAATGATCAAAAGAAGACTGAAATGAGATTTCAAAGATTTCAGATTGAAATGAGCATAAATATGAAACTTCTGAGTGCTCCTTTTTTTCTTTAACATACCTCCTTGTCTGTTTGTTAATTTTTAAAAGAGTTATTCCTAAGAAAGATGTAAGCTACCCACCTGCAAAAAAAATTAAATAAAAAGTCTACCATTAATCATTCTAGAGAACATACTTTCAGCCCTCTCCAAGAATCCTATGAAACAACTGGCTTTTGAAGCATGTTGAATCTCAAATAATTGCTTAAATGTTGTGTAGTATTACAGAAATGTATCACTATGTATTGTTTTTGGTTGTAAGGTTAGATATATATTTCACTGCAGTGCGTTTCAGAAGTCCATTGAGTAAAGCTGTCAGTCATACAGACAAGTAGTTGCAGACATCAAGCAACATCTTAAATGATAAGCAACCTGTTTGCTGACACCTTATTGTGCAGCTTTCCTGACAAAATAGTGACATATCTTCAAAAATGTAATTACTATAATAGGAGTGGGTCACCAGGATGCTGACTGGCATGTCTTTGCATTCTGCTGTATTCTTGATTCTGCTATGTGACATCTTTTATACACATTGGAAAGCATGCATTTTTTCAACTGGCCTGCACAAAAATCTTTCATTATAGCTGGGCAAACAAAAGTACTGTATGACCATGTAGTGAGAGGAAAATAAAAATACCCTTTTCTAGGTTTCATTAAACGGGGATGGGCCAGCACTGCAGTGATTAAGACCCAACTATCCCTATTTCTATTATTTTTAGAATTGGAAAAGGAGCTCCCTTTAGCCATCTTTTGTTTGAGAACTGTGTATACCCTCTGGGGACCACATGACATTTCTTTCTGCTAGCACTCAACTCTGAATTGAACCACTGCTCCTTCCTGGCTGAACAGAGACAGACACAGTCTCCTAGAGAGTTCTCAATATTATTTCTCACTTAACTACAGCTGCTGCTGCTGCTGCAAGAAAGGGTGTGGCCCTTCCCACAAACAGCTGAGCAGTATTGAATCTGGAGTATGTGTCAACATTTTGGTCCTAAAACAGACAACATTTTATTTTGATGGTGTTGTGTCATTCACCATTTTATATGTATATATATTTTTTTTTTACTTTCCTCTAGCCACAGTTGAAGCAGTGACTAGGATGGTACCAGTAATCCATACTCATGTACTCAGGTTCAAACCAGTTGCCAGATTCTCAGCTGAAAGGGAACTTTACCTTTGATCAGCTGGGACTTTGGTTTTGTTTTTTTGGTTTTTTTCCCCATCCTCTGCAGCATAGGATATGGACTGCCTACTTGGATCATCTGAATGTAAAATTTAGCCTCCTGTGATGTATAGGAAGCCAAATGCTGGGGTTTAATTCTTTATCTGGAAAAACTGCTAAATACAAGTTTCTGTAATCACGAGGAGTTAAACCTAAACATGATTATGGCATCCCAGTTTTCAAAAAGTCAAGTGCTGATTACATACAAAACATAAAATCAATTTTGAGTGATCTAAAGGCAGAGATTTCATGGCAGAAGATGACTCTGCAGCGTTACTTGAACCAAGTTAATGAGACCAATTATAATTTGGTTATGAATGGCAGAACTGAGCTTCCTAGTTGCAAGCCAAAGCAGATAACTCAATGTTACAGTAACGAAGTCTACATGTTGGTATCATGGAGAGTTACCCCAAGTTACCAGTGAATGCACTTGCATACCAGACTCTACAAAGCACGAGATTGTGCATGCGGAGAAAACTGTAGCTCCAAAACTAGAAGCAATATAGCCATATCAGCATGGTACTGAACCATGGCACTAGTAATCCCTCTTACTCAGCAGAGCTAATGAACTCAGGCACAGCATCACACCAAAGTGGCTATACTATTTCTGGTTCCTTAGCTAATGAACTAGTTCAGGTACAGTCCTACCTTCTGGTACAGTCCTGTGTTCTATATATACGTATACATAAATGCATTTTGGTGCCATACTACTTTCTATATATACATATACATACATACATACACACACACAAATATATACACATGCATTTGTGTGTGTGTATGTGTGTGTGTGTATATATATATATATAGAAAGGGAGAGAGAGAGAGACTTACCCTAAATGATTTCAGGGTACATGGTGTAGCCACTATACCAAAGGGGCTATACTACCCATGCTCTATGAGTTCTTCTGCCCTTAGTTCCTTTCTCTGTAGTTTGCCCATTAGTTGTGCTCAGCCTACATTCTGCAAAAACCCATTCTGGAAGTTTTCACCTGAAAGCAAAGTATTAGTTATAAGAGCTGGCATTTCAAAGTGCTCTAAATTCTACAAGCATGCTCAAATTGTACTTTGGAGGCATTGTCAAGAAAAATAGCAGTAGTTAACTAGACGGAAATTTTTTGGTAAGCAGCAGCATTTTGTTAATGAAATCATGCTCCATTCTCTTCACTCTTTTGCTGAACAATATGACTGAGGATTGAGAGAACAATAGAATAGAGCATGATCAATGAAAAACAAGTAGCTTGAACTCAGTATAAGTACGATAAAAATGGTTGTAGAGTATCAGGAAGCACATATAGCACAACACATAATATATTAACCCCAGTTCTGAGTAATGGCATAAGATTAACTTAGAGTAATTAGGAACTGAGCCATTGCTGTAAGTGAACACAGAAAATCAGAATGTTGAATTATGAAAAATAAACATGGACAGAAATTTCACCTTACTACAATTAGTTATTCCAAGCTATACAGGAAAAAAAATGTATTGGTGTCACCTCTCAGGCTAGGTATAGACATTCAAAAAGTTCAAGAT